TCTATATCTCACCAGAATTAAGTTAGTATAAACTGAACCTGACTCTGATAAGACATATATGTTAAGCCCTAGAGCAACCGCTGAGGAAATAATTTTTTTAAAAAACGTTAAAAAAAAAATCATTAAAGAAATTAAAAGTATACATTAAAAATAGTCATTTAATGCAAAAGAAAGCAGTAGCAGGGGAACAGAGGGACAAAAAAAGACAAGATATGGAAGACAGAAAGGAAAATGACAGACATAAATCTGACTATATCGATAATAACATTGAATGGGAGTATATTAAACTATCAAAATGAAAGGGAGAGATTGTCAGACTGAATTTGGAAACAAGATCAAACTATATGCTTTCTATGGAAGATACACTATATACAAAGACACAAATAAATTGAAAGTGAAAAGATGAAAAAGGTATGTCATGCAAACAACAGCAGGAAAGCTGGAGTACCTCCACTAATGTCAGAAAATAATAGGCTTTAAAACAAAAAATGTTACTAGAGATTGAGGGACATTTTATAATGATAAAAGGGTCAGTCCATCAGGAAGATAGAATAATCATATTTGCAGCTAACAATGGAGCACCAAAATATGTGAAGCAAAAAACTGACAGAAATAAAGAGAGAAATAGACAATTCAACATTAATAGTTGGAGACTTCAATACCCTACTTTCAGTCATGGATAGAACAACTAGGCAGAAGATCAAAGAAAAAAAGTAGAAGATTTGAACAAAACTGTAAACCAACTATACCAAACAGACACCTATAGACAACAGAATATGCATTCTTTTAAAGTGCACATGGAACATTCTCCAGGATAAACCGTATGCTAGGATATAAAACAAACTTAATAAATTTAAAAGGATTGAAAACCTACAGAGTATGCCTTCTGACCCCAAGGAAATACAATTAGAAATCAATAAAGAAATTTGGGAAACTCAAAGATACGTGGAAATTAAACAACACATGTCTAAGTCACCAGTGGGTCAAAGGAGAAATTAGAAAATACATTGAGATAAATGAGAATGAAGACACAGTATACTAAAACTTGTGAGATGCAACTATAACAGTCCTTAAAGGGAAATGTATAACTTTAAAATGTCTATATTAAAAATGAAGAAAGATTTCAAATCAATAGCTTAACCTTCCATCTTATGACAATGGAAAAAAGAAGAGCAAACTAAACTTAAAGCAGACAGAAGGAATTAATAAAGACTAGAGAGGTAATTATGAAATAGAAACTGTAAAAACAATAGAAAAAATTAATGAAACCAACAGCAGGTTCTTTGAAGAGATCGGCCAAACTGAAACTTTTTGTCTTGGTTTGACCAAGAAAAAAGAGAGAAGATTCAAAATACTAGAACCAAATGAAAAGGGGGACAGTACTACTGACCTTATAGAAATGAAAGTGGTTATAAAGGAATACTATGAACACTTGTATGCCAATGATTTATATAACTTAGAAGAAATGGATAAATTCCTACAAAGTACTGAAACTGACTCAAGAAGAAATAGACAATCTGAACAGGTGTATAACAAGAGACTAAATTAGTAATAACTGACCATAAAGAAAAGCCAAGACCCAGATGGCTTTACTGCCTAATTCTACCAAATATTTAAGGAATAATTAAGACCAGTTCTTCACAAAGTCTTTCAAAAAATGGAAGAGCATTTTCCAACTCATTCTGTAAAGCCAGTATTACCCTGTACCAAAAGCGTACAAAGACAATACAAGAGAAAACTACAGACCAATATCTGTTCTCAATATGGATGCAGAAATCCTTAAGAAAATACTAGCAAACTGAATCCAGCAATACATAAAAAGAATTATACACTGTGACCAAGTGGCATTTATCCCAGGAATGCAAGGTTGGTTTAACATCCAAAAATGAATTAATGTAATACCCCATATCAATAGAATAAAAAACAAAAACCATATAATCATCTCAATAGACACAGAAAAAGCATTTGACAAAATCCAACACCCTTTCATTTTAAAAACACTTAAACTTAGGAATAGAAAGGAACTTCCTCAGTTTGATAAAGGCAACTATGAAAACCCCACAGCTAACATCATACTTATTAGTGAAAGACAGAGTGCTTCCCCTTAGATCAGGAATAAGACAAGGATGTCCACTCTCACCATTTATTATTAAACATTATACTAGAGATTCTCATCAGGGTAATTAGGCAAGAAAAGTAAAAGGCATTCAGATTGGAAAGGAAGAAGTGAAATTATCTCTATTCACAGATGACATGATCTTGTATATGGAAAATCTAAGGAATCCACTAAAAAACTTTGAACTAATAAACAAGTTCAGCATGGTGGCAGGATACAAGATCAACATACAAAAATCTATTGCGTTTCCATACACTAGGAGTGAACAATCCCAAAATGAAATTAAAAAAACAATTCTACTTACAGTAGCATCAAAAAGAATAAAATACTTGGGAATAAATTTAACAAGAAAAGTATAAACCTTGTTCTCTAAAAGCTACAAAACATTGTTGAAAGAAGAAATTAAAGATCTAAATAAATGGAAAAACATCCCATGTTCATGGATCAAAATGATATTAAGATGGCAGTACTCCCCAAATTTATCTACAGATTCAACACAATCCCTGTCAGAATCCCAGCTAGCTTCTTTATGGAAATTGGCAAGCTGACTCTGAAATTCATATAGAATTGCAAGGGACCCTGAATAGCCAGAATAATCTTAAAAAGAAAATTGGCAGACTAATACTTTCAAATTTCAAAATTTACTACAAACCTATAGTAGTCAAGACAGTATAGCATGGGCATAGAGATAGATATATAAATCAATGAAATTGAATTGAAATGCAAAATAAACCCATGTGTCTATGATTAACTGGTTTTAACAAGGGCGCCAAGGCCATTCTATAGGAAAAGAATAGTCTTTTCAACAAATGGTGCTGAAACAATTGAATAGCATATTCAAAAGAATGACATTAGACCCTGTATTAGTTTCCAGGGCTGCTGCAACAAATTACCACAAACTAGGTGACTTTAAACAACAGAAATTTATTCTCTCACACTTCTAGAGGTGAGAAGTCTGAAATCAAGGTCCCAGCAGAACTACACTTCCTCTGAAGACTCTAAAGGAGAATCCTGTCTTACCTCTTCCAGCTTCTGGTGACTCCTGGCATTCCTTGGCTTGTGACAGCATAACTCCAGTCTCTCCCTTGTCTTCACATGACTTCTTTCCTATGTCCTGTATCAATTCTCTCACTTCTTTCTCTTGTAAGGACACGAGTCATTGGATTTAGAGCCCACCTAAATTCAGGATGATCTCATCCTGAGATCCTTAACTTAATTACAGCAAAGACCCATTCCAAATAAGGTCACATTCACAGCTACCATGGGTTAGGACTGGGATGTCTTTTCTCTGAGGGAAGTTGTTCAACTAACTGCAGACCCTAACTTCATGGTAGATACAAAAATGAACTCAAAATGGCTCAAAGACCTAAATGTAAGAGCTAACACCATAAAAATCTTAGAAGAAAACATAGGAGTAAATCTTCATGATCTTAAACTTGGCAATGGATTCTTAAATATGACACCAAAAAAATGAGAAACAAAAGAAAAAAATGAATAAATAGGACTTCATCAAAAGTAAAAACTTTTATGCTTCAAAGGACACCATCAAGAAAGTAAAAAGACAACTCACAGAATAGAAAAACTATTTGCGTATATCTGATAAGGGACTTGTTACTAGAATATATAAAGAACTGTTACAACTCGATAATAAAAAGACAACCCAATTTAAAAAGAGCAAAGGATCTGTGTAGACATTTCTCCAAAGGAGATCAAATGGGGCAGTAAGCACATGAAAAGATGTTCTTCATCATTCATCAAGGAAATGCAAATCAAAACCACAATGAGATACCACTTCATACAGACTAGGATGGCTAAAATCAAAAAGTCAAATAATAAATGTTGGTGAGGATATAAAGAAATTGGAATTCTAATACAGTTCTGGCAGAAGTGTAAAATGGTGCAACCACTTTGGAAAACATTCTGGCAGTTTCTCAAATGAGTAAACAGAGTTACCATATGACCTGGAAATTCCTCTCCTGAGTATATACCAAAAGAAATGAAAACAGGTCCACATAAAAACTTGTATATGGAGATTTATAGCAGCATTATTCATAATTACCAAAAGATGGAAACAACCCAACTGTACATCAACTGATGAATGAATGCACGAGTTGTGATATAGCCGTATGATGGAATACTATTCACCCATGGAAGGAATGAAGTACTGATACATGCTACAACATGAATGAATCTTAAAACATTATGCTAAATTAAAGAAGCCAGTCACAAAAGGTCACATATTATATGATTCCATTCTCATGAAATTTCCAGTATAAGCAAATCTGTAGAGGTAGAAAGTACATTGGTGGCGTAGGACTGGGAAACAAAGGGATAGGAGGGTCTTAGTGAAAGATTACAGGGGGTTTTTTTGATATCATGAAAATGTTCTAAAATTGGCTGTGGTGCTAGTACATATCTGAATGTACTAAAAAACTATTAAATTGTACACTTTACATAGTAAATTGTATAGTAGGTGAATTGTATCTCAACAAAGCTGTTTTTAAAAAGAGCCTGTAACGTGATTATTCACTGACTAGTATTTATGACTTATGCATTGCTGAGGCCAGATAGGGTGAGGGAATAGAAAAGGAAAGGAAAGAGAAGTATCTGAGACTTTGCTTTTCTGGTCATTGAGTGAAATGACTGTCAGGGAATTTTTCTTCTCATACTTATTCAGAGAGCTACCAAATAGAAGTGATTCTTGATTCTGAAGACAAGCAACTCATGTGTGTACATTTTAATATACCACTTTCTATTTAAGTTCACTTAACTATAATGGAATTTTTCTCTAAGTTTATAAATAAAATATAAAGGCCTGAATATAATTTCTTTTTTTTCTCTGCCTCCCCTCATCCCCCCCACCCCCACTTTTTATACTTTAAAGGGAGTTTACACTGGGAGAGTACTTACCCTTCAAGAATTATTGATCCAAGTTGGGAAGTTAAATGCCGAAGCTGTTAGAGGTCAGTGGGCCAATCTTTCTTGGGAATTGCTTTATGCCACAAATGATGATGAGGAACGTTACAGTATACAAGCTCATCCACTACTTCTAAGAAACCTTACGGTACAAGCGGCTGACCCTCCCCTGGGATATCCAATTTATTCTTCAAAACCTCTCCATATACATTTGTATTAGAGCCCATTTTGACTTGTATTGTCATCAAATGAGATCTTTTTATTTTTTCATTCTAGAAAAGTAAGAATCTGATTCCTCATAACTTCCATGGACTTTCCTCTCTCCTCCCACGTGCCTGAGAAAAGCTAAGCTCTTTAAAGTTGATTCTCTTAGCTATCTTAATGATTAAAAAAAACCAACTTTATGTCTAACCTCAGAGTTAGAACTAGTTGGCCAATATTTGTGCCCTATGAATTGTGGTGGGCTTTGGTAAATATAAAACATTTGTAGAAGATTGATAATGAATTTTTTAATGCTTTCTTAAATGTGTGGTAGGTGATTTGCCTTACAGAAGTCAACAACTGTATAATTTTTGCATACTTAAAAGATATACATATCTGTGTTTTTAAGTAATGATAGTGGATCTCATTGAAGGTTACATAATGTATATATATTTATTTTCAATATAATAAAATTTTATAGTATTTTCACACTTTGTGCTTTTTTTAACACTTAACACAGTCTGAATGTTTTCATATATTCATTTTCTTTTCATATACTTCAATTCAGAAATTTTAAAAGTTTTTAGTAAAATCTCTTCCTTCATTTTCAAGTATCCTTTTGATATATGTGAAAGGAAAAGGATTTATCCCATTCATCATGTGAATACTCATTGGAATTAGCAATGTTAGGGTAGTCTGAGTATGACTGCTAGAGGCCATTCTGTAGATCTGGCTCTTTATGCATTTCTTTTCAACTTTGAATATACTCTGAAGAATGACTTCCAGTAGGACTGCTAGTTACTAGTGTCTTAAGGTATCTGAACCGAAGGCAGAAAGTAATGGGAGGAAAATTTTTCACAATGATCACAATTTTATTTTCACTCTCTTGCTGTTCATGAAGTTTTTACAGGTACTTATAAGCAGAATGAACAATGAGTCTGTATCAGTTGAGAAATGAATTTCTTTTACCCCTTACTTTATTTCCAACTGAGTTTATAGTAGCCTCCTAGGTTGGTAATACAGCAATACATTCTCTTTAGAAATGATTGAAATTATTTGAAATGTGCCAATTAGGTTTTTTTATTATTATTATTCCATTTATTTAGCATGTGGAACAGTTCAATCAAGCTATGTTAAAGGATAACTTTTTGGACTAATTTTCAGTTAATGAATTCATTGAGATTTGTGCATTAGTCTTTTTTTGGAAGCAATATAGTATAGTTATTAAGATAGAGTGTTGTGTTAACATCTGGGTTCATAATATAGTAATCTCAGGCTTACTATTTACATAATTGAGATTTACTAGCCAGACAATTTTATGTATTTTTGTCACCTAGGAAAATTTTCTCATGCCATTAAAAACACTCTATGTAATGATCAGTTTTAATGACTGCATAACATTGATAGATATAACAGTTTATTGGACTATCCTCCAAATAATGGGAATTCTAAATTGTTTAAAGATTTTAATAATGCCCAGCCATGCTTTCCCTTTACCTTGCATCCTCCTCAAACTGCTCCCATGTCTCTCCATTTCATTCATAGCCAGGTTTCCTCTTCTTTCATTCGTCAAATGATTACAGTCTGGATTCCATCTCCACTAATGATTCCATCTTTACCATTCCCCCAAATAAAGTTAGTTTTTATTAAGGTCAGTGTTTACCTTTGTATTGTCAAACCAACCGGCTACTCCTATGTTCTTGTCTTATTTGTTCTTTAAATAGCATTTGACACATTTTGACCACTCCTTGAATCACCTTTTTTGTCTCTTTTGCTTCCCTGACACAAGTATCTTCATTTTCTTCCTCTCTCCCTGGCCACTCCTCAATCACCTTTGCTGCTTTTCCATTTCTACCTGACCACTAAATTTTGGAATTTCTCAACAGTTTGGTTCCAGGGCCCCTCTTCTACATTCACTGTGGACAGTCTCGTCCACACCCAAGATATAAAAGTATCATCAATAAGTTGATGTTCAAATATATACCTACCTCAACCTCTCTTCTTAGCACTGAGCCTGTATATGGAACTTATTTATCTCCATCTGATAGAGTCAAACTGACCTTATTGAATCTTCCCTAAAACCTGCTTTTCTGACTTTCACTTTTAGTAATGCTTAGGTAATTCACACCACCCATCTCACAGAGAACAACTAGCAAAGCTAGGCAAAATAATATTTTAAAATCTGCTTAAAGGTATCAGAGAACCAAGAAAACAGTGAAGAATTACATTACCAAGATCCAAGGCAGAATGAAATTTAGAAACTTGAGCTCATCACTTGGGCTGCTTTTCTTCTAGGAGCATTTGCCAGCTCAGGATGAGGTGGTTGAGAGTCTGAGAAACTAAGTAACGCTTTTGACAGCCTTGCTGCTGAGTTAGAGGAATACAAATGGGAGTCCAGGGCTCTCCAAGGAGGGAGGCAGGAACCCTAGTAACTGACCACACATTGGTTTGGGACATCAAGGATTACGTCCTAATTTTATGGTTGAACAAAAAAAGTAGATGCAGCTTGAATCTTCTTAGTCCCTAAAACTGGATTAAGGTGGCCCTGGATTTCTGCTCTGCCTAGCCACCACCCAGAGCAAAGGTAAATCTTCTCTGGACTGACCTTTTAAGTTATTTTTGTAATTTTTCATACTTAATGTTGGACAACGTAAAATAAAGCACCTGAGGAGATATGACAACATGATCAAAAATCCAAGAGAAACAATAGACAATAGGAATGGACCCACTGGGGATCCAGATAATGGAGTTGTTAAACACAGGCTAGAACATTATGATGTTTGGTACATTCAAAGATATAAAACACAAGCTTAAGAATTTCATCAGAGAATTAGAAACTATACAGAAGAATTGATAAGTCCCAAACTGATAAGTACGTTAATCAAGTTTAAGAACTCAGTGAATGGATTTGATAGAAACTGGACACAGCTAACGTAAAAATTAGTGAAACACAATTTGGGTCAGAAGTAAATATCTGATATGAAAAATGACACAAAAGAATGGAAAATATTGTAAGAAGATAAGAGACATAGGGTTACCATGAGAAGATCTAACATACAAGTAATTGGAATTCCAAAAGGAGAGGCGAGAGGAAATGGCAGAAGCAACATTTAAGGAGATAATGACTGAGAATTTACCAAATTTTTAAGGGACATTAATCCCTGCAAGATAATAAAACCACACCTCAACACAGCATGAGAAAAAACAAAATATAAAAAGGAAGTCATATACCCACAACTAAAATATACGACTATGTACTAGGCGGATTTGGGGAGAAAAAGCAGAAAAAAAAAAAGGAAGTCATAAAAGCAGCCAGAAAGATGTTACTATCAAAGAACCAAGAATTTTATTAAACTCACAACTAACTTCTAAACAGAAAATATGGAAACCAGAAATTTGTGGAATGATATTTAATTTTGCTAAAATAACTATAAACTTAGAATTCTATACTCAGCCTTTCTCCAAAAACAACTCTTTAAGAATGAAGGTAAAGACAGTTTTATACACAGTAAATTCAACAGCAGATTCTCATTAAAAGAAATAGCATAAGGTATTTTCCAGACAGAAGGAAAATGATCCAGTAGAAGCTCAGGGATGTAAGAAGAAATGAACAGTAATAAAAACGATAAATATATGGTTAAATCTAAATTAATAGTGACAATATAAAATAGTTTTGGAGGTTAAATATGTTAAAATACATGGCAATAATAGTATATAAGTTGTTGCAGGAGTTAACCCAGAGTTAAAGAGTTCTAAGATTCTTGTATTATCCAGAAAGAAGTTAAAAGTACCAAGTAATAATAGACTTTGCTGTATCATCTATAGGAGGACCGCTAAAAAATAGCAAAAAGTGAAAACAAGTATATAACTACTAAACTAACAGAGGAGGAAAGTGGAATAATAATTAGGCAAAAAAAGAATATAAAATAGGACAAATAGAAATAAAGTAGTGAGGCCAGCACCATGGCCAAATGGTTAAGTTCGTGCGCTCCGCTTCAGTGGCCCAGGGTTTCACCAGTTCAGATCCTGGGCACAGACATGGCACCACTGGTCAGGCCATGCTGAGGCGGCGTCCCACATAGCACAACCAGAAGGACCTAAAACTAGACTATACAACTATGTAATTGGGGGCTTTGGGGAGAAGAAGAAAAGAAGAAGATTAGGAACAGATGTTAGCTCAGGTGCCAGTCTTTATAAAATAAAGATGAAGGCTCAAAAAAAAAAAGGAAATAAAATAGTATATTAGCAAAATAAACAGCAAATTAAACCTGAAGAAAGTAAAAGAATAAAATAGTAAGGCACGAAAATTAGAATAGAAAACAAACATGAAGCAGATCAACTAAGCCAAAAGTTGATCTTTGAAAGACATATAATTGATAAGCCTCTGGCAGACTAAACAGAAAAAGAAGAAATACCAAATAACCAATGTGAGGAATGAGAGAGAGCATATAGACATTTGAGAAAATCTGTATATTATGTACAACTTTACATCAATAAACTTGACATTTGAAATGAACAGTTGCCTTAAAAAATATAACTTAGCCAAAACTGACAAAAGAAAATAATAGGGAAATTTGAACAGTCCCATGTCTGGTAAAGAAATTTGTACTTAGTTTCTTACTTTCCCACAGTGAAAACTGCAATCTTACATGGATTCATCAGTTTATCCTACCAAAAATTTAAGAAGGAAAGAAAGACCATTATTAAATTTTATCAAAGAACAGTAAAAGCAGGAACCCTCCCCAACTCATTTTATGAAACCAGCGAAATCTTGATACTAAAACCTGGCAAGGACATTATGAGAAAGAAAAATTACAGACATTCCCAAACATCAATGCAAAACTACCAAAGTACTAGCAAACTAAATTCATAAATAAATATATGAATAATAAATTACAACCAAGTTGCATTTCTTCTTGAAAAGTGAAGCTGGTGTGATAGTTGAAAATCAATCTCAATATAATTCACCACATTAACAGAATGAAAGGAGAAAAATCCTATCGTTTCAGTAGATCCAGAAAATGTATTTGAGAAAATCAACATGCATTCATAAAAAGGAAGCATTGGCTTTTTAAAATGCAGCTCTATTTAGCTTATCCTGAATGTACACGTGAGGTTTTCTGGATCAGAGCTAGATTTCTTATTATCTCACAGTAAATAAGTGCACCTGCCTACCCTTTGCACTAGTCCATACCCCCAAAGCAAAATGGTGAGAACTGAGTGAGCAGTTTTCCTCCACAGTGGCCAAACACTCCATAGGCAAGGGACAAACAAAGAAAAATTGTTTTTCCCTGCTAAAAAGGAGAAAGAGGCAGCTGTCCTCC